ACTATAGACCACTAAATAACTCTGTATTTTACCATCCTAGCTAGTATGATATGTTAGGGAGTTGATAAAGATCTTCTTAGAAATTACTAAGTCTTGTTCTCAAAAATGTTAAAACTTATATACTATGTTGCACATATTAGTTTTCTTTCACTACACACTCTGAACATTTTAAATATCTTAAAGCACCCTTAAATCCTTAATATTTATAAATTACCATCAAAATTTAATTTTAAATTAATAAAATAATGACCAATTAAAATTTGAAAAACTAAATTTGACCAAGGCCAAAACTAAAGGATGACTTCGATTGACCGTGAGCCGGAACCAAAATCAACATCATTTGAACCAAAATCAACGTTCGAGCCGGCGAGGTTCAAAGTGAAATTTCACGAGCCTACTTACTACTTTTCTAATTTCTGTGCCGCTGGATCGATGGGAGTGGAGCATGGTCTATGAAACCGTATTGGAGATTGTACCGGAAAAGTAAGCGGTAAGGTATTTTATGGTAAAATCGTGGTTTAACCGTAGTTCAACCGTTATGCCGGTAAATACCGTCTACCGGTTTAGCCTCCGATACTGGTATTTCGTGGTTGAACCGCCGGTACGGTACGGTTTCATGGACACTGGAGTGGAGTGGTAGGTAGAGTAGATCTTACTTACTACTTTTCTAATTTCTTTGTCACCAACCTACGATTGCTCCAACTTTTGACCAGAATTATTTATTGATAGATCAATTGCTAATATACGATAATAATACTCTATTACTAGAAAGCCATCGGAAATTATTATTTTCTAATTAAATCACGGTGGCAAGAGAAAAAAAAGGGTTAAATGGCAGAAGAAGCAAGGCAAAAAAAAAACGCCAACTGGGCGATAGTGCATGTGCCAAATACCACTTCAACGGAAGTTGGAGTCCACAGTTTCGCAGCTTTGCCTAACATTGAGACGGACAAAATATATTATCCCCTAACATCGTAACAGTAAAGATAAATTTTTTGGGTTAAAATTCGAATCTGTAAGATTTATAAAGAACTTTGTGTCTTAACTACTCAACTATGCAGCAATTAGCCCAAAAGCAGTGACATATATATCTAGTTAATTAGCCCAAAAGCAGTGACATATATATCTAGTTAATTAGCTACATAGTGCCATGTTTTTTTTTTTCAAATGTAGTAATTAGGTACGCGTAATAAGTTAAAACTAGTTTTTTGGCCGCGCTCCGCCGCGGTAAGAAATTAACGATTTAGTTGAAATCAAATAATAACAAAATTATTCATATAAGATATATACATAAATTGCACGTAGTGTTCAAATTATTATAAATAACATGAGTCATTCGTTATGAAAGACTTAAAATTGATAAATACAAAATAATTATTTGTTCACAAGCTTTACGTAGTGCCATAGCCATTAAGGAAGATTCATGTAACTATTATAGAACATTGTTACATAAATCTTTCATAATCTGTGGTCTAATAATAAAATCAAGTTATAGTAAGTAACATGATGAATCTGTAATTCTACATAAATCTTTCATAATGTTTGGTCTAATCACAAAATAAAATTTTAAAAAGTAACATATGATTAAAATGTTATGTCAAAGTTAACTAATCATGAGCTCATGGTAAAATTGGATGTAGGAGATAAAGAACAATTATAGAATGTTGTTACATAAATATTTTATAGTGTGTAGCTAATAATAAAATCAAATTTTAGAAAATAACGTATGATAAAACTGTTTTGTCAAAGTTAATAATCATGAGCTTATGGTAAAATTAGATATAGGAGATAAAAAAAAAATTATAGAACCTTGTTACATAAATATATTATAGTGTATGGTCTAATAATAAAAATCAAATTTTATAAAATAAAGTATGATTAAAATCTTTCATAATGTGTGGTCTAATAATAAAAATCCAATTTTAGAAAATAAAGTATGATTAAAATCTTTCATAATGTGTGGTCTAATGACAAAATAAAATTTTAAAAGGTAAAATATGATTAAATTGTTATTGCAAAGTTAACTAACTGTTATGTCAAAGTTAACTAATCTTGAGTTTATGGTAAAATTGGATGTAGGAGATTAAAAATTATTACATAATGCTATTACATAGATATTTTATAGTGTGTGGTGTAATAATAACATCACATTTTAGAAAGTAACATATGATTAAACTATTATGTGAAAGTTAACTAATCATGAGCTTATAGTAATATTAGATGTATGAGATAAAAAATTGTTATAGAACGTTATTACATAAAAATTTTATAGTGTGGTTTAAATAATAAAATCAAACTTTACTAAGTGACGTATGATGAAACTAATATGCCAAAGTTAACTAATCATGAGCTATCATAAAATTGGATGCAGGAGATTAAATTTTTTATAGAACGTACATAAATATTTTATAGTGTGCGGCATAATAATAAAATTAAAATTTAGAAAGTAACGTATGATTAATCTGTTATGTCAAAGTTAACTAATCATGAGCTTATGATAAAATTGAATGTAAAAAATAAATAAATAACTATTATAGAACGTTGTTACACAAATATTTTATAGTGTGCGGTCTAATAATAATATCAAATTTTAGAAACTAAAGTATGATTTATGTATTATGTCAAAGTTAACTAATCATGAGCTTATGATAAAATTGGATGTAGGAGATAAAAAAAACAATTATAGAAAATTGTTACATATATATTTTATAGGGTGCGGTCTAATAATACGTTTATATATGCATAAGAAATAACTATCGTACCATAAAATTTACCTAATGTATAATAATTAATATGGTTCCACAATTTTTACATATGCTAAACTAATATTATGTAAATACATAATAAGCATTGTAAGGCACAATGGTTATCTATGCTAAACTAATATTAGTATATATAAAAAGCATTGTAACTTAATAATGAAAATCTTTTTAAAAAGCTTTGAAAGTTAATGATGGGACGGTAATAATAAGGGACAAACAAAGTTAACTAATCATGAGCTTATGGTAAAATTGGATGTAGGAGATAACAAAATTGTTATAGAACATTGTTACATAAATATTTTATAGTGTGGTCTAATAATAAAAATCATATTTTAGAAAAAAATGTACGATTTAAATCTTTCATAATGTGTGGTCTAATAACAAAATATAATTTTAAAAAGTAACTAACTGTTATGATTAAACTGTTATTGCAAAGTTAACCAACTGTTTTGTCAAAGTTAACTAATCATGAGCTTATGGTAAGATTGGATGTAGGAGACACAAAAACTATTATAGAATGTTATTACATAGATATTTTATAATGTATTGTCTAATAATAAAATTAAATTTTAGAAAGTAACGTATGATTTAACTATTATGCCAAAATTAACTAATTATGAGCTTATGGTAAAATTGGATATAGGAGATAAAGAAACTATTATAGAATGTTGTTACATAGATATTTTATAGTGTGTGGGGTAATAATAACATCAAATTTTAGAAAGTAACGTATGATTAATCTGTTATGTGAAAGTTACCTAATCATGAGCTTATAATAAAATTGAATGTAGAAGATTAAAGAAACTATTATAGAACATTGTTACATAAATATTTTATAGTGTGTGGTCTAATAATAACATCAAATTTTAGAAATTAACGTATGATTTAAGTGTTATATCAAAGTTAACTAATCATTAACTTATGGTAAAATTGGATGTAGGAGATAAAAAAACTATTATAGAACATTGTTACATATATATTTCATAGTGTGCGGTCTAATAATACGTTTATATATGCATAAGAAACAACTATTGTACCATAAACTTTATGTAATATGCTAAACTATATTATGTATATATATAAAGCATTGTAACTTAGTAATGAAAAGCTTTAGAAAAGCGTTGAAAGTTAATGATGGGATGGTAATAATAATGGACAAACATATTAGAATTCGGGTTCCTAAAAATTGCTACCGTGGTCGCTATCACAGCGGATTCAAGTACATCATGCAGCATGTCAACAGTAACCCGGAATTAGAGTTACTAAAATTAAACATGCTAAAACGTAACATCGTAAGGAACAGCGAAAATAATTAATAGGTTGCTTACGCTTTTAATTATTTAATGGTAGGTTAAAAAGAAGAAAGGGAGGGAAATAATGAGTGATAAAAAAATTGGTCCAAGAAGAAGGAAAAGAGGACTGGAATTTGTGGTGGGTTCGGCCACACCTAATTATATCACTAATGAACAGTAATTTGGGAAGAAATTTTCGTGAGGAACAGTGTAATTACTTCCGGCATACTTGTGCCTTTAATATATTAAAATTAAAATATAACGCGACGCTCTTATCATCATCATACTCATCATCACCCATGGAGCTTCATATCTCCACCTAGCTAGCTTCTAGAAGAAAATGAAAGCTGCCGAAGCAAAAAAAGAAAAAGATCTGACAACGACGCACAGGGCACAGGCGCTTATTTCTTTTGACAGTTCCCACTTCCCCGCCACCTACAGAATTAGAGAGAAAGAGGTGAAAACGACAGAGCAAAAGGCACAGTATGATGAAGAACTGGTTAGGTCAAAGACAAAGAGGGTCCCATGCACGTACGTAAAGTTAATTAACCCCAATTAGTAAAATTGATTAAGTTGGTGCTTAATGTTTAGTACTTTTGATAATTTGTTATAATAAGTAGGGCAATGTCTATTTTTTACCCAAACCTTTTCAAAATTCTTTTATTTTACTCAAACCTATCAAAATTCTATTTATTATCCAAACGTTAAGTTTCCGTTAATAGTTCCGTTAGTTAAAACTGCACGGGCAAAAAAATGCTGATGTGGCAATAAATTAATTTTTTTATTATGTGTCATCACCAACTCAATGACCTTCGGCTCGACTCCAGTTTCATCCACCTCCTCATCGTCCCAGATCGGGAGCCTTGAACTGCTTTGCAGCTTGAGTGTGGAGTTGCGAGCTTATCTCCTCTTCTTCTTCCTTCTGGCTTCTCTCTTCTGTTTCTGATCAGTAGTGGCACCCAACCAACGCCGGAGCCGAGAACATCATCGCCTTCGTCGATTGCTTCGACGCGAACTGGAACTTCGACGGAGACTGCTCTGCACGGTGATGCTGGTGGGCGTCGAGATCATCCGGCGCCGGCAAATTGAGATCCAGCGACAACACATTCTTCTGCTGGTTATTATTCAGATCGTCATAATTAACCGCGGCGCTCGTATCCACAATACCCGCCGATGTCGCCGTCACCACCCCCGCCGCCGCCGTCTGGTTCTCCGACGAGATCTAGATAGAAGCTTCTCCGGCGACCCAATCCCAGCGAAGACCTGGGCTTTCTTCCTCTTCCTTCTCGCAATCCCTCGGATTTTCTCTCAAATCCCAATCCCAGCGAAGACCCAGGCTTCTTCCCGGCGGGGCATGGACATGGCGGGAAGTGACAGAAGCGACGACTTCTTCTCCGGGTTTGGCCGGCTTCTTCTCCATCCCGACAGGAGAGGCGGCAAGGAGTGATTCGCCTCCAGATCTTTCCCATCCACAGGAGAGGGGCCATGGAGTGAGTCGTCTCCGATTGGACTCGGAATTACCGACGCTGAAGGAAGCTTTTTCTTATTTTTCTTCTTCTACAGTTCGTTGACGGTGACGGAGAGGAGAGGAAGGGAGGCGAGGAGATAAATCGAATGGGATGCCCCTCCTGATCCATTTTTTCCAGATCGAGCTTTTTCTTTTTCTGGAAGAAGAAGAAGAAAAAGGGAAGGCAGAGAGAGGAAGAGGATCGGGGAAAAGAGAGTCGAGAGGCGGAGAGAGTAAAGGAACAAAAATAAAGAATTGATATTTTTTATTATTTTATTTGTAATTTCAAATTTTTTTATGATTTTTTATTTTATTAATTTCAGACGTGTATGTTGACGTGGATGCTGACGTGGAGTTCCGTTACGAAATAAGTAACGGTAACAGAACGAATGCCCAGACTTTGATCAGTTACAATAAGTTTGGATAATAAATAGAATTTTGATAGGTTTGGGTAAAATAAAAGAATTTTGAAAAGGTTTGGGTAAAAAATAGACATTGCCCTAATAAGTATGGAAAAGTATATATATATAATATATAAATAAGTGCGTACGTAGATCCCAGTGGCTGACCAATCAATGTGATTAATTAGCTAGCAGCTGGTGCCTGCCCATCTCTGTCGAGTTACATGTCATCTAATTAATTTTGGTTGTTTAATTCCCAATAATTAGCGCTAATCCACTGCCATCCTTTTGTCTTACTTAGTTAATGACAGCACCAACTGCCGCCCACCTGATTCATGCTGCTATGATTTTCAAATATCTTTGCAATAATTGCTGGTTTTTCCAATATGACAACCGACATTAGAATCCAGAGTGGGGAAAAAATCTCAACTTTAGCCATTCTACAACATAAACTGGTACAAGACAACACAAAAAGGTCTTGCTTTGAAGCAAAGCAAGCAGCTCCATTCAAACTTAATGTCTCTAACCATTACAATCTGGCTGCTACTCTGCTGGCTGGGGATGCATTCCCTTTCTCCCTTTAGAAATTTGGAATTTGCGGAACAATATCAATCTATCGATATTACAACACCAACGTGGTTCGTGTGTCATTCGTGTAGCATTTGAGTTTGTTGGGAGCGTTTAGCGGTATCAATTGGCTGGTTTTCCATTTTCGTTTCCTGTTTTCTGTTTTCATGTCATAAATTTGGCAATCTAAACGAGAAAACTTATTTACTATTCATTCTGTTTTCTATTCATTTCCAACTATGAAAACAGAAAATGGCAACTTCCTGCTTTTGCATGGGCCATGAATATGGGCCAATTATTCATGTGATAATGGCCGAGTTATGTTAGTAGTCTTATTAGGAGTTTAGTCGTGTAGGTGACCGGATGGGCTAGGGTTACGGGTTAGTTAGGGTTTACGTATTAGGTTTATTTCTTCTATAAATATGTAAGTTTGGCATTAGTTCCGTATCAAATTAATAAATCAAAGGTTTATAGACACCAACGTCTTTCTCTCGCTTGTGAGTTACAAGCAAAACCCTTGAATCGTGGGTTACGTTTCCATCGCCGAATCCTTTGCTGCTTGCAGCCTGGTAAGAGTCACTACTCACTAGCTTATATTAGTCACTGATGGATGAATGCTCGAAAGGTTAGAGTGGAAATTGATCAAGAAGTATATGATGTACCATTACTAATAGAGCACCCAATGAAACAAGATACCATCAATGTCCCTTCTAGGTTGTGGTTGCAAGGCGTCACAGCCAACGCAATAAAGAATGGTAGCAACACCCCGTGCATCTGCAAGAGCCAACAGAACTCAAACATCAAGGAACCTGGTTTGGTACTCTCATTAAAAGTTATTATTGGTAGACAGAAAGAGAACGATACATTCTTGTTCTACTCGGTATGATCATAAACCACAAGGATTAACCTAATAATAGTGTGGAATTAACATAACTATATGATACCATCATTAATAAGAACAAGAAGAGAGCAATAACAATATTATCACTGAAGGTGGTTCTCATGTACTTTCTCGTCTTATTATGGCACAATGTTGCAAGACCAATCTTAGGTATTGGGAAGGGATAATTCAAGAAAGCACATGAAGTACAACAATCATCTAACTTGGTGTACTACTTTTTGATCAGGAGTGAAGAGGTTTGGGAAAAACCAAGGAACAGATGCACCAATGACCGCTGATGTGAATCCAAGTGCATCTCCAATGATGACTAAGGATCTCAACAGCGATCATGCCTGTTTTTATGTATAGAAAACTTTTAGAACAACGAAGTAGAAAGCAACCTACAAGAAAGGATAAACTTTTACATAGAACAACTGGAAGGATGCCACAAACAAACATAAGTCTACATTATCACCAACCTTTGACAAATTTCGACTGGATCCATATATTAGCTCAGGCAAAAAAGATTGAGCAGTTTGAGAGATAGGCTCGCCCCACACACCACACATGCCAAATACTTGACTCATGACCTAAGGTGAACCATCAGATGTCAATATAACAAAGAGAGAACAACCAAGAGAAAATACACTAAAACTGCAACAAGAGCAGCCAACAACCTGATTAGCTGCCATGTGTGCCCATTGATGTGGCAAAATAAATGAAGGAATAAAATGCAACAAACATCAGGAAAAGTCAATGTTTGGTTCATATAGATAAAATGAAACAAATTTAAGTGATGAAAAATAGAAATGAACCTTTGAGGTCATGGTAATAAACACTGGAGCAGCAAGCCCAAGTATGCGCAAAAGACCATCAAACATCGGAACAGATATTGCTAATGCATTGTAGCATTTCTTGTTCAGAGTGTCAATCATCATAAAGGCTGCAACGACCTACAAATAGATGCCATAAGATTACATTCAAGAGGGAGAAATCAAGAACAAAGAAATTTATCAGGACTCATCCACATACTTGGGACACCATAGTGGCCCATGCTGCCCAGCTATACCATAGCCTAAAAATCTGCAGAGGACTATATCACCAAAACCATTTACAAGAGTAGAAACTGCTAAAGCTTTCAGAGGACCCCGTGAATCTTTCATTCCAAGACAGCAAAACAGGATGAGGCCATTAAAACACGAGTTATCAATCAATCCTTCATAGTACAACAATGGAAGCATGACCAATCAACCAATCCATTCTCTCTCTTTTCCTAGTGAAACAGGTGGTGACACATTAATTTCCACTGTCGCTATTCAACTTAATATTTGCCATCACAATTCATCAAACAGTGATATTGATGAAGTGCTAGGAAAGGAATTGCCATAAACTTTCTACTGCAGGCAACAGCAAGTTCAATGTCACTGCTTCATATTATGAAGCACACAAAATCAACCGCCAAATATTTCAATTCAGAATCGGTTGCAAGAGGAGCAAGCATAAGAGCAGCAGTGACTTGGAACAGAGTACAAAAGCAGCGGTAACTAAAACCATAGTGTCTACCTAGCACTTTGAGCAACCCATCCCACAAGAACTGCGGGCCATGCTAAGCCTAGAATCTGGGAGAAAAGAACAGAAGACATTAATCCTTTGATGATCAAAATGAGCAAGTAGAACATCGTCTGGAAAGTTGAGGCGAAGTTCCTCATTCTGCAAGAAAAAAAATCAGCTGCAGCACAAGTGTCTATAATTTCCGGTTTAAAAATTTAAGGTCCACGATTTACAGAAAACCTTATTCATGCCTACGACTATGGATATGAAAAGAAATAGAAATTGGACATTAGTCCCAGAAAGAAATGAAAAAATATTGCTCTTTCTTCCTACTTAAGACTAACTAAAAATTCAGATCCACATTACAAATTAGACCCTTGAACTACTCCTACCCAATTCTACCATTGTAGCGCACATTTAAAGCTCAGATGATGCTTTAGCAGAGTTACAAGCTTGGATACAATGAAGGGTGTTGACAATGACACAGTTTAGACCATAATACTCAAGTACCATCAAGAAGTCGCCCAATCCTTGCCACGGAAAACTATTACACCATAACATTTTCACTCTTTCTTTTCTGAACTTCAAATGTTCCTCAATGAAAAATGAAAAATTCTTTGAGTACAGTACCTGGAGTCCTGGACGTAAGTATTTGCTGCGGGTATTAAATCAAGGTTCCTTTGTCCTGCAAAAGCTGAAGAATATGGACAGAAAGGAAACAAGGAAAACACATCATTCATTTGGCCAACATAAATTCCACCCAGAAATTGAAAATGTGAATTACACGAAGACAGAACAAAAAAGTCATGACTAATGTAGGACTGATCAAAGCTTTACCAGTCTCCATTACCAGTAGGTGCCCACGAACCACATAACCTCGTGAAGAACAGCATAAACACTCCACATACCAATCCAACGAACAAAAGTATTGATATTTGATGCTGCACTTCTGATTTATCCTACAGAATTTTGTCAAATAACAGAAATTAACAATTGGCAGAGAGATGAGAATTGTAAACAAATGTAATCCAAGAACGTTCCTTCAGAAACTTGCTGGTCCAACCAACCCTATGAAGCAGCATTGAAGTTAATCGAAACCAACCATAGATGCTCCACAATCAAAAAGCTGCCATCAAACAAACCTGCTTGTCAAAAAAAAAAACCAACCTGTCTGGCGAGGGAAGTAGCAACCGAGAGAAACATGAACACGTAACAGATATAATCACAGAACACCGTCCCAGGTCCTGTGATCAACATAAAGAACAAACTTTTTCAGTCAATTGCCCATCAATGGCAACCATTTCGTTCATTCATAAACAACAAAGAAGCTAGTAGTCAGTAATTACGTAAAGCTGCAAGCTCAAGGGAGCTTCCCTGACCAATGACAACAGTGTCGATGAGACTCATCAAGGGTCCACACAACCAAAGCCCAGTAGCAGGCCCAGTGAACATGGCAATCTCCTTGATTTGATTCCAGAAGCTCTGGTTCTCCAGCCCCTCTACGGTTCCCGCCGCCACCTCCGCCAACGATTTTCCGCCATGCTCACCACCTTCATTCACGCTCTCCTCCTGGCTCTCCCCAATGCTGCAATTGTTCCGAAACAGATTCCCGACGTCGTCCTTACTACTTCCGGAAGAGAAAGTTGCGGCGACGTAAATACGGCGGGGCGTGACTCGTGAGCAAACTACAAGCAGCAGGGAGCGGCCTGTGAAAGAAACCCAGTGATTGGGGACTGTAAAAGCGCCGGAAAATAGGGTTTGGAAGAGGAATGGCTGGTGGGCGAGGTAGAGTAGTGAGTTGCATCTTGGAAGGCGGGGAACAGAAGCAAAAGGAGCAGATTGGATTAATTGAAGAGATGTCTATTTTAATGGTTTAAATAAAGCAATTACTTCTTTATTTTTAAGGTTAAACCGTGGTGACTATTGGTTAGCCATAGTTTATTTGATAAGTTACTGAAAATAGTTTGTTATTTTCTTTCATAAATTTTTTTTTAATTCATATTTTATAATAATAAAAGAGTCCAGGTTACCATCTGCTAGGTCCAATCCTTATTGTAGGTTAATATCAAATTTAATTATACCTACTCCTAAATTTCCCGTTCCTTTGACAATAATACTTTCCTCTTCATTAATGAGTCTATCATCACGAATTTCTAATTCCATGGTGCGTCAATTCCTATTTTCATGGTTGATTTTAAGATAATTTGGATTGTACTAATATGAATATAAGGTATTTTATTTCGTTCTTCTAATCTTAGTTTAGCTAAATTTTTTTTAATTTGTTCTTTATTTATTACTTGGATAAGAAAATCGCCCTTAGTTTGATCAATAGGGACTGCTATTTCACCTATCATTTTACCGTATTTAATAATGTTTTATCTATCAAAGAGTTTTGATACAAAAGACTTCGTGATAAAGTTTTGAGTTTCCGAAATAGTAAAATTAGTTTTTTCTCTAATTTTCTTGATGTCTATAACACCATCTAAGAAGTAGTTTTCATCATCGTTTTTGTTCAAATAGTCAAAATAACTTGAGGTAGGATTATTAGACATACTTGACTTGTTTTTCTGAGGAAATCCTGAGTTTTTTTTATGATCGCTTGATGATTGTAGCTGCTCTCCGTACGTTTGATTATATTGATGGTGGTTGTGGCCTCCAGGATCAGTGGATCCAAGCCTTACAAGTAGCAAGCTAGAGGGAGAGAGAGAGAGAGAGAGTAAACATGCAATTTTTATGGCCAAACTCTATCTGCCTTATTTCATTGCAAACTCTTGCTCTTATATAGAGCTGGGAGGAAATACAAAGACGTCATTGCTTACGTCTGTGAGATAGGGACGTAAAGCTAACATGTCAAAAGAAAGCACGTGAAAACGATAAGAAAAACTTATAAAATACAATAATGCACGACTTTTTTAAAAAGGAGTCAGTCAACCTTTTCTTGTTGTTTTATCCCATATTTGTTTGATTCCTCTTTCTTCACATGCTTCTCTCAGTCTTGGTCTGCTGGTCCATTGATGTCTTCGTCAGTTGATGCACACCACTCACAGAAGTGGTCCTTATAGATAGTAAGTGCATTGCAAAGCTGTTTCTTGATTTGGATAGGGAGGGCTGACATATTTCCATTAATTTCAGTGAATTCTTTATTTTTATCTGTTATGATTGTCCATTCTTCTTTGGTCATGTTTCCTCTAGTTTTGCTGGTGATGATGGCATCGGGGTTGCTGTAATTGACTTTGATATGATTTTCTGGTTCAATCTTGGTTAATGCTCTGCATACTGCTAGAAGACCCTTTACTTGGTACTCTGGGTTCTTCTCATAATCTCGTAGGTCATCTCTGGTAGGATAATCATGATTTGATACTCCCATAAGGATAACTGCCTTTGATCCGACAAATAGCTTGTCTGGATCGAATATGGGGTAGCTGCTTGTATACTTGAGAAATATTTCTCGTTCTTTAGCGAATAGCTCAAGGTATCTTCTGATTACGTTCCTCATTCTTTGTGGGAAGTATTCAAATACTTTCATGGTTGTAGTGTAGATTGTGTCAATTAATCCATACTAATAGAACTCAAAAGAGAGTTCTGGTGATGCTTCTTCTGTGATTACTGCTTTGGGTCCTCCTCGACTGACAGGGTAAAAACCCATGATTGTGTGTTTTTCTTCGTAGTTGATTATCATATCCCAGTTGGATACGAACTTCTGAAAGACTGGTTTTAATTGTTATTCTTTTTCTTTGGTGGCTGGGATGCTTTTGATACTAGGTATCTTCATGATAAGTTTCTGCGATTGTTGCTCTTGATTCTTGATTGGTTCTTTCAATGCCATCACCTTGTATGACTGTCTAAATGCTTCTTCGGCTGCTTCTTTTATTTTTAAATGATTGATGTTGGACTGGTTTGTCATTTATGTGCTGACTAGCGATGGCCCAGTTGTGATATACTCCTCGATATGGTCCATTGAATATGACATACCACTTGCTGCCTTTTCTGTCGTCGTCTTCATAGTGGGAATCTCTTCCTTCATTTTCTTCTTGTTCAAAGATTTCTGCTCATTGTGTCGTCTTTTGTGTATTATTGATGGTAGTAGTAGATGATTGTGTTGATGCCGACTTTTCTTTTTCGGCAAGTTCTGTGGTGGGTGTTGATGACTGTCCATTAGCAGAGCTAATTGATAGAATATTGACGTCGATGTAGTTGACCTTTAACTGTTGCTGAATAACATTGATTGATTGAATTATTCTTCTTCCTCTCCCTGCAAAGGAGAAGTTGGTGTTCCAATGTTGTACTGTTTTCCTATTTTTGCTTTAGCTGATTAATGAGGGTCTTTATTAATCCTTCCATTCTCGAGTTAGTGTGTCGGTGAATGGATTGTTGCTGGACTTGATATACTTCAGATAAGGATTGTAATAATGGAGTTGTTGCTACCACCTGATTAATCTCCCTTTGTTGAAATCTGCTTGTAGCTTGTACCTTCAAAAACCTGTTACATATTTAGAATCGGTTAGAAGTTCAAACCTCGTGGATAATAATTCAAGATTCCACTTTTTCAATGTTCGGAGACAAGCTAGTGTCTCTAATTCATGGATCTGATAGTTCTGTTCAGTGGCGGTAAATGTGCCAGAAATATATTTACATAATTTCTTAATATATTTATCACTGTTGAAAGGAACTAATAATTGAGAATCCGAAGGTCCAATAATATTGTCCGTAGACTGATAATCTTTAGGCTTTTGGCAAGAGGCAGTAGCCTCATTATTTTCAATTTTGATATTACCAAAATTGTCCATTTGTAATAATTCTTTGCCATTTTATATTGCTAACATGCATCCAACCCAAGTATCCTTAGAGGCATCCGTTTGAATTATTAGAAAATCGTTTTCACAAGGGTTATATAATTTTGGTAAATGGTGACATTTTTCCTTCATCGATAAAACTATTTTTGTATCTTGATCATTCCATGACCAAGGGATTTTGCCAGGAAATTTTTTTCCTGTAAATGTTTTCTTTCTTTTGCTAAATCTTTTAAAAATCCTTGGTCACTAATATAATTTAAACATCCAAGAAAACGTTGAATTTGTTTTCTATTCTCAAGTTGGGTTGGGAATTTATCATTTTTTTTTTTTTGGTGTTTGGTGACAACTCAATTTCGCCGAAATTATTAATCATCATACCAAGATATTCAATTTCCCTTTGAAGAAGTTTCGATTTTTTCTTAGAAATAATTAGACCTTTTCCTTTATTCTTTGTAAAACTATCAAAAAATTTTCACAATGATCTTCCTCTTATTGGTTAGTGAAAATGATGATGTAATCAATGTATGCTAAACAGAACGATTGAAAACCGTCCATAAAACGTTGGTAAATAGCTGATACTTGTTTCATTCCAAATGGAAGAACATTCCATTCGTAATGTTTTGTGGCGGACATGAAAAAGCTGTAAAAGGTTTGGTATTCTCATGTAGACGAAGTTGTCAATATCCTGATTTAGCATCTAAACTACTAAATCACGTCTGACCTTTTAATCTTTCTAGTATATAGTCTTTCCGGGGTAATTTATAGTTATCTTCTATTGTTTGTTCGTTTAGTTTTTTTTATAGTTTATTATCATTCTTCTTTTTCCTCTTTTGATTTCGTTATTATTTTCTACATAGAAGGCTGGTGCACTATGAGGGCTTTTGCTTTCTCGTACCCTTTTCAACTAATTCTGAACATTCCTTTTGGAATTCTTCCACAAATCGTTGAGTATATTGAATTTTATTTGGAATATTAACTTCCGTTTTAGGATCTTTTAGTTTAATTTCAATAATTTTCTTATTGTTATTTTTATCTTTATCTAAAGGATGTTCACTACACACCTGGTCTAACGTATCCTCTATAATGCCATAGGTAATTTATACATATTCTAGTCTATTTTTGAGGTTTTGAAGTACAATTTTTAATACTTCGTTTTTAGTGATTATTCTAGTTGTGATTATCTTAGATTCTTGGTTTATTGTTTTAGGACATATGAGGCTAATTGTTTTAATCCTTTGGATGAACGGTTGATATAATTTTAGAAAGTTATTTCCTATTATTATATCTAATTCGGAGTCATGTTGATAGATTGTTTAGGCTGTAAAGAAATGTTTTTCAATGATTATCGGTACATATTGTTTTACATAATATATTTCATGAATAGATTCTACTACTACAATTTTTAGAGGTTTTTCAAGTTTATCCCATTTTTTTATGGTTGATTTTTTGGCAAAACATAGAGTTGCTCCTGTATTAATGTATGCTAAAAAGTTTTTCTTTTCTATTTTAATTTTAATAAATGTTGCATTAGGATTTCCTTTAGTTAGTACCTTCTTCTGACTCATTTGAAGAAGTCTCTGAGTCTGAAATATATTCAATAATTTCTACATCAGAAAGTTCAAAATCTGTTTCTTCGATTGGTTCAAAACCACAGTCGTCTGCCAATCTAAGGACTTCTTGATTTCTAGTATTAGAATTTTTTTAGGACATTTATTTGCGTAATGTCCTTCTTCATCACATAACCAACATCTACAATTTGTCTTTCCTTTAGGACAGTATTCTTGTTGTTTTGTTTATTGTTTAAACTGTTTTCGATTTCTGAAATATTTATTTGGTTTTCTAAACCTATTTTTTCTATATTCTTTATAAGGTGTTTTTCTTCATTTTTTATAATTTTTATATTTTTTACGAGTTTTAATAATCTTATGATCGTTACTACACCCATATTTTCCAACTCTATCCATTATTTATTCATAACAGAGTTTAATGTTAGCTTATTTCTTTAATTTTTCCTCATTACAAGCTCTTTTATGTTATTCTTGTAAAACTAATATTCGTCCTCCTAATGTATCTGGTATC